TTGAGTTTTCCAGATTATCCTGAAAATACTACTTTTGCTTTCATTGGCTGTTGAAACTGCTTGAGAGCGAACTCAGGGACTGACTTTGGGAACTSATCTTACTAATTTGGATAGTCCAGTTATAGAACTTCGTTCTTCGTTGTAATACTAAGAATGCTGCATATKAAGGTATATGAAGGTGTCAGTGGCAATTTGCCCCAGCCTTCTTCAATGAGGTTCAAAGCTGATGAGTTTCATGGGCTGCTTAAACTGATTTAAAGCTTTGCTGTTGCTAGAAGAGATGAGATACAGGCCACATTTGCCACACCACCCAGTTCCTTCTGTGCCAGCAATGAGCCGGATCTGGCTGGAAATCTGCTCATGTTTAGTGCTGCAACAAGAAGGGGCATTAAGGTCATTTTCAGGAAAACTGGTCTTAGGCTATCACGAACTTTTGCTCTGGTTCAGACTCATATTTCCATGGTATCCCAGAAACTGAAGTGCTTTTGGGAYCAACACCACATCTGTTCCCTTTCTCTGCAATGGAATTCCTTGTAGTGTCTGTCCTGATTTATTCACATACAGACGCAGGCAGAAGAAGAGGCCTGATGGGTCTTTTCGTCACAAAGTGATGCGAACATCACTTGATCAAACCTGTGATGGCACCAAAGACTTGCTGAACCAAATGAAACTTAGGGTCTATGCACCCTCTTTCTGACAAGGGTCAATATAAATTATATCAAAAAGTCTGTGATCTTTTGCGATCTCTGCAACATAAGATTCATAGAAGGTAAGCATCTATCTGCTTATCCATTTATTTTGCTCTAGTATGAATTTTTTATATTTTTCTAAGCTTCCTGCTGAGTTTAGAAAGGTAAATAATCCTCATTTATCAAATAAATTACAAACTATTTTGAACGAGTGGGGCCTCTACCCAGCCAGGTAAAAATCACAATATTCTTCCCATGTACAATCAAAACTTTGCCATGGTGTTTGCAGGCATGTGCTTTACGCATGCAACTATTTTTTTCCACATGGTTTTAGTTTCTTCTTTTCCATGCCAAAAAGGAAAGAAAAGCTATGTCCCCCCAACCTCATAAACATATGCAGGAAAATGAGTGCCTGTTTCCTGACCATGGCTGATGCTGAGCTTGACTGGGAGAACCAGCAGGGATCCCAAGTACCACCTCTGGCTCAGTGAGCCAACTGTTTGATTGTTCTCATTTTATTTAACTGCTTATGTATAATTGCTGCTGGTTTAGATTGTGACACAATAAATGTAGTGCTGTGGGAAGAAAGAAACCTTTTTTTCTTTTTTTTCCACCGGCAATTTTATCTGCTGTCTTAGGGGGCAGGGGCAAGACCTGCACTTAAATATATTACTTCTGTGAAATTTTAATTTGCCATAAAAAAGCTTTGGTATGTCAGATTCATCCTTGATTACCAAACCCAGAAGTCTTATTTCAACATATGTTGTTAGTTGTTTAAATTAATTTCAGCTAAATTGGTAACGGAAAGTATTACTTAATATCTCCAAAAGATTATATCTGAAGTGTTCTTTTGCACTGATTGTCCTCTTTATTTTTGATGGCTGAATGCATCACAGGTTTAGGTTTTCATTGWTGTTTTATGATTTTCCTATGATGTAAATGAATACAGAGAGCAAGATGTACCCCCCTTTGCAGCCCAGAGATTTTCATTTGTCAGGGGAGTGTTGGCTCCCACATGAAGATTTAAGACGAAACAAAACAAAGCAAAACAAAACAACAACAAAACAAATAAAAAAAGAAAGCAGGCRAAGATTTATCTATTCAGATATTCAGATAGGTTTACCAAGCTTTGATCTTTGAGACAAGTCTTCAAACTCTAGCAACACTGTTCACCTCAATTTTTTTGCCTTCATACTTTATTCTTGAACAGTCCAAAGGCAATACACGGATATCTCTCAACTGCACAACACTTCGTTGTCTAGTAAATTTTAAAACAGAATAAAGCTATTGGAAAGACAAAAATATACCCTATAGTTGGAAAAACATCATAATTTTTCTCAACACACTTGAAGAATATATAGGAAACATTTATTTTTCTGGGAGATAGCAGACATGGTTTATAAGATGTCTTCTTTTTAATAAAGTTTATTGACTGCATAAATGAGCTCTCTGTTTTCTGGACCTGTACCATTGACAGCTTTCCTTTCTGCTATGTGGGATTCCTTCAGTGGAGACCTGGAGCACCACTTCATATTTCTAAAATGTCCAAAGCAACTGCAGCAGAAGCCATAGTTCCCATAACACAAGAACTGGTTTCATCTATGTTACCATATCAATTTGGTAGGAAAAGAAAATGGGAGGGGAGAGCTAAAAAATCAACACCAAAAATCAACATACCACAAATACTACTAAATAAAAAGTAGTAATTTAAGAAAAAAATACTTGTAAAACACTTCATGCAACGGAACTCTTAGACTCTGCTTGATAAAATAYCTCTTCTAATCCAAGTGGCAACGCACTACATGGACATCAACAATCCTGACAGAAGTAGCAAACAAATTCCACGAACGGGAATGACTAAGAAGTGCCAAGGATCTGGAGTCCACGGCAGCACTCGCTGCCTGCAACAGCACGGCAGTTCTTCCTGCCTTCTTATGTGTCCTGTGTAGATTTTCTGAAATGTTCCTAAATTCATTCTTATTCCATTTTTTTTGCTTTGATTTTACTCTTCCACTTCATATTTACCTTATAGGCAACTTCACTCTATTTCAGATTCCTGTGAACCTTATTGCAGCTCAGGGGTATAYGTGGATAATCTGCTTTGTAGCAACTCCCCTCAGGGCACGAGACACTCAAATGTGCACGCAAGTCCTTGAAGCTCCTGTTCAAATCAAATTCAACTTTCAGATCCCAAAACATTTACCTTCATTTAGATTAGTTTGAGTTATCTGTGATAACAGATTTAAACACTGGCGACTTACTGAACTCCCAGACATATTCATAGGCAATATTTCATATTCTCGGAAGAAGCTGTCTGTAACTGAAACACATGATAGTGAACAAAGATGAAAATTAATTTTATCACTTTGATGAACACACTACGACTTCAATAGAATTAATTTTCACATTTTGGTAGAACAGAGGCATATGCAGGGGAATTAGAAAATAAAGTATGTTTTCAATCTCTCTTTCCCCTTTCCACATTCAGCACAGAGCTGCACTATGTTTTAGTACTGAAAATAAAAGGAAGGCTTTGGGCAAAATGAAAGCCGCTGCTAAAATTACAGATTGAGAGTTAGTCTCACAAGAGTCTGCTCTACAGCACAAAAGGACAGTATTATTCTTTCCAAGTGAGTTATTTTCCTGAGGGACAGTTTATTTTTAAGGACGCTTTGCTTTGGATTTTCATGTGCCTTTTCACTTGTTTTGTGAACTGTCATTGGGAAGTGCTCTGACATTTCATTGTCTTTATCTGTTGTTGCTTTTTGTTTGATCTGAGAATGATCTCCATTTCCACAAGCATTTTGTGAAACAACCCCACAAACAATCAGAAAAAGCACAAAAAGCTCTAACCACAATGAAGGCTTGAAGCCCTGGTAGGGTAAACAATTAACTGGTATGGAAACTGTGACACGCATGTGAAGTCCTGCAAATATTTTCAGACTATCAAAATTCTGTATTTCAGATATTTCAGACTATTAAAAGGAGTGGTTTTAGTGCAATATTTCACTGTCTGGCAATTACAGGGACTCTTAACAGAATAAGATTGCTTCTCTTCTCTTCATCCCTGGAGAAGACTGAGAAGTGACTGGGTGAAGGCTGTTCAAGCTGTAACAAGTCAKGTTATTCACATTTAACAAATTAAGAAAAATACCCATGTATTTTCCTAAAGCCAGCTTCTTTAACTAATTTCAAGCAATTATTACTGCAAGAAGTACTCAAACAAAGCTAGAAAGGGTAGCGATATTTCTTCACTGTTGATGTTGAAGCAAGTATTTTCAGATAAAGTAATAACAGTATCAGTATAATAAACTAATTTCCAAGTGCCATGTCACCAGAAAAGCAGTGAAACAACCTTAAAACAGCTCTAGAAATATGTTCCTTTTCCTCTCGCAACAAAAGTTCTACAGCAAGATGTAAATTAGATGGGTGAAGAAGGCTTTTATTTACTAATATAATTAACTAACGTAATATAGCTTATTTTTACTAAGTGTCTTCTTAAAAAGAGCAACAGTTTATTACCAGTATAAGTACTTTACAGGAAATAAAGATGTAATTAGGAGACATATTTATGTATGGACATTAACACTCCCTATTAATACAACCATTATTAATGATATACAATTCATTTATGGCTCCTAAAATCAGAGAAGTCAAAACACAGGATCCAGACTGCAGGATTGATGCTATATTCAGAGCTGTTAATTTCAGCACCACCAGCACAGGGAGCTTTAAAAACGTCTTGGGCCAAGGAAGCCATGTGACTGCCTGCTGGAGATGGAGTTGGGCAAAAATTAACTCCAAATGGAACTTGTTATCTAAAAAAACAAGGTACACGTAGCTACGACCTGATATAGGTACCTTCCGTTGTTTAAGGTATTTGCATGCAAAAATACATGCCATGAATGTATAAATCAAATGCAAAACGCACTCAGAAGTGATCTGTATAGTGGTGCACAAAGGCAGATGCCACAGCATATTTTTGTACGATGCAAGGCTGCTCAAGATCAGCTCTGGATAATGAACCATGACAGCTTGGGATCTGATGAAACACAACTTGACGGTGAGAGAAGGCAAYGAATAAAAGTACTATCCAAACAGTCAGCAAGTTCTTATAAACTATTTTGTCTTCCATTTCAGTATGAAACAGGATACACTGACACAAAATTAAACATTCACTCAATTCAACGGACTTTACATCAGAAAAAAAGCTATTTCTTTAAATCTTCATTTTATTTCTAGGAAAACATCGCACACTACAGCATTAAACAGAGTATGGAWGGTAAGAGAATCCATATTTATTTAAAATACCTTATACGGTTGGCATCAATGCACTTTCCTTTTCGCAGGGAAATCTTGAAAGGAGATTCTATCAGTCAGTTTTTAGTTTCTTCACAGGTCAGAAAAAGATCCCTTTTCTTTTTTTCCCTTTAAGAGAAAGACATTCCATGTAAACACTTGTCTTTACCTCTGCAGCTGTATTTTCCATCTTTGCCCAAACAACTGCAATTTAAGCACTCCTTTAAATATATTTGGCATTTTCAGCGCCTTTGAGCCTTTGATTGTCAGATGTTTATTATGAGGACAGTGGATCAGATTCTAAGATACACAGAAAAAAAAAACCCACATTCACAATTTTTCTTTAGCACTGATTCATTTGGACTGCCGTTTTTAGTGTGTGCCAGCAATATTTCTGTAAATTTTATCAAGAAGCTAAGTGTGGTGAATAACAGAGATCTCACAAGTCTTATTTCCCTTCTATTGTATCCCATGGGTTTTAATAAGCTAGTATACTCAGTGAATTCTTCTGATATCAAAATGTCTAAATTCATTTTTTTTTCCCTTCTTCTGTCTACAACCAAGCAAGTTCAAAATTGTTTGTTTTAGGGGGCAAGGTGAGATGACTAAATTCATTCGTAAGACTGTTCAGCCTATACCTTACTCACACTTGTCTCCTCACTGCTCTTCTGTTCTCCTTCCAGAGAGTTTCCTATTCTGGTAAATTAGGAGGATTCCTATAGTTACAAGCTCAGGGCAGACAATGCTAGAAGTTGTTTGAAAAAGGCTGTTACAGATCTTTAAGATTTTTATAATCTAAATCTCTGAGACAAGCAAAGGATAGGAGCAAAGCTATATCAACATATTTATTCTACAGATGGAAGCTGAGGTACATAAAATTAAACCATATGTGGCAAGTCAGTCTGGGAGTCTGGTTTCAGGAACCTTCTCTGTCTTGAATCCCTGCCCCATACCTTAATCATACACTACAAAAACACAGAAAGCACAGAAAACACATCCTCAGTCCCGTTTTGACTATTTTCCTTAGCAAAAATGAAAAGAAAGGGAAACTTTCCCGTTTTTTGAAGGTCTTGATAATAGCTSTGACAGTAAACATCTTTGGAAGTTAAGACTCTTTTAAACAACAAAAGCATTGCACAATTCAAAAGTTCATTAAAAGGATTTTGAATGCATTTTGAATATAAATGTATTTTGGATTTTGAACACTCTTTTTTCATTGTTTAAGTATTAACAAACCAATAATGTTAACAAAATCAGTGAAGACAATGGCATTTCCCATAAAAGCAGGCATTTTTAATTTGCCTTCTAATTTTTAAGGAGTAAAGTCTGTCTCAAGAACAGAACTGCTTTAAACTGTCACTGAAGTTGTGGGGCAACAAAACTTATGTCCCCACATACAGTGTCTTTTCCTTCAAAAAAGCTACAACAGATCCTCCATYTGACTCCAGCAGGTAGGGCTTTAATGAAACAAGCATCAGGAAAAAATGTTTAAAAAACGTTCCACTTTCCGAGTCAAGAATTAATTTATACTTTGTGACTTGTCTAGATAGACTATTTACCAAGACAACAAAGTGAAATTAAACTTATTGGATGGGAAACACAACATAAATAAAAGAACACTGTTGCAATGCCAAGCACTCAAAGTTTAATTCAAATTTTTTTCTGAGGCTTTATGACAATGTCTAATCATGAGTGAGGTCTTGTTCCTTTGTGAGCCATGTTATCCAGTGCCGAGGCTGCTTTTTAAAGGAAATTAAAGGATTCCCCCCATATCTTCTTCAGTGAGCAGTCTCCATATACCACACAGAATACTTCCTTAAAATAAAATGAAACCCAACAGATCCTTTTACTGCTCTGAGCCCTGGTGTTTCCGAAAGGCTCTACAATTTTGCTCGTTCTGGGTGACATTCCCAGGAAGAGCCAGACACACTCTGCAGGTTTGGCMCCTCACTACCCCTACTAAGAGGTACTTTTAGGAACACTTGCTCCTCCTGAAAGGAGGCTTTCAAATATGACACTTAGTTTTGCATAGGGATCTTAACCACATACAGAATTCCCAGGAAGAAGCAACAGTTTCTAAGGACACTGCAGTTAGCCTTTGGGATTCGGGAAGAGAGGGCTAACTTAATAAAGTAAGTTTTTAGTATGTTAATAGAGGCAACAGTGAAACGTGGCGCACGTTTCAACAAGGATTTTCAGGTTTTCTTAGAGATTTAGAACTCCTTTCTACAAGTCCCTTGGGTGGCAGAATGAACCTCTGTCACTTATTGGATGAACAGTGCATAATATTTTGCGTAATGAAATTAAGCAGCCTGAAATACATGTGAACATGACTAATGAGACAAAATGCAGCAGGAAAAGCAAGCAGATGGGGTGAACATTCTGGAACAGCGCAGCAAGGAAAGCGCTGAAGGCCTGGGGTTTTTTTTTACAGGATGCCTACAGAAACACAAATATAATCTTTGCATTTCTGTCTAAGACTGCATCTGTCAGCACTTTGATGATCTGTGTATCACAAATGAGAGCTGTGCCAGAATACTAATAGTCTCTGTGGAAAACCTTCATTTGTCATTCACAGAGACGCAAAAAGCAAACAAAATGCAGGGAGGGGCAGAGGGAAGGAGTTTTCTTCCACAGTTTGTGGCTTGTTCTTTAAAATGCATTAAAAAGATACTTAGGCATTTCACTCTCCGAGATCCTCCAAGCRGTGCAGGTACTTGGGAAAGAAACACAGAGAGAGAAGGCAGCTCTCATTCACACGATGACAGGAAAAGACTTTCTTACTGATAAAGATCAGTGCTTTACTTAGGAAAGATGCTACCAGAATCAGAGAAAGTTGCAGTTAAGTTTGCATTCCTTGATGTCCAGAAGAAAAAAAAAAAAATAAAATAAAGGCCACGGTAATTATTCCTTTCTAGAAATCCCAGAGTAAAACACAGGCCCTGGGGTAGCCTCTCCTCAGGAGGTGGCCGTCGGCAGAGGAGCACCCCACTGCTCGGCACGCAGCACACAGGATCTCTACACCGTGTGTGCTGCTTTCCCTTTTTAAAAGTTCTTTTTTTTTTTTTTTTTAATTATACTAAGATATTTCATAATTTCACAGAGCATCACTGTTCAGGAGCAAAAAGCTCAAAAATCTTTGAATTCTGAAAGTAACTGAACTCCACTCCGCAACAAGAGCCTCCTAAAACCAGGCATCTTCAGTCWGCAAGATCCTTCACTCAGTCCTGACCTACATTCCTCATTTGCCAGACACAGAGATTTGTACAATCTCTATTTTACCATAAATGATTCTTAATTACCGCACAGTTTTTAAGCTTCAAGAAATGTTATAAAGCAAAGCCTCTGTGATATGATGATGATCTTAAATGAGAACTGCAACACACACACACACACACACACACACACACGATTCTAGCTCATATTATTTGCAGTAGGTTCTCCCTGCTCTTCTATTTTAAACCCTGGCAGCTATCCAACCTATTAGCAAAATCCGGCAAAATCCAGAAATGTCTTTCTTCTTGTTTCTAACATAACTTCTGTTAAACGTAAATACCTTCCACAGCACTAATAAAATTTTGGTTTTATGGGTTCAGTGCATTTTACTGGTGGTCAAATGGGGTCTGTGAACATTCTGGTAGGCATCTCTGCCAATGACATGTATAGAATATTGTATAATGTCAACACAGACCAAGCATCCAATGAGTATTGCAGGGAAAAGTATCCACAGATAACTTAGTTCTTATCACTGCTATAAAATGATATTGTCCTACTGTAATGGTGCTGGTTAATAAATTCAGCTGTAAAGCAGAGTTTCAGCCATTTTTTAGAATAATTTGTATTGCAAGAGAGGGCCTAAGCAGTATTTACACAGCTTTTAAGAGTTCAGTATAATGCATAATATATTTATGGATTGCATCCTAATTGTATATAGAGAAAAGCAGGCAGCTATAAAGGAAGCCAGTAGCAACAAAGCTTAAAACAAACAAAAGACTTTGGTACAAAGACAAAAGTATTTTGTTCAATGAGTGGATGATCTCTTAAACTCTCAGAAAGATCTCTGGGATGCAAAAATGGTTTACAAAGTTTTATGAGGAAACTGAATCCATACGTATAGAATCTGTACACACCAAGCTGTTCATCTTCTGCAGAAATCTGCTGGGGTTTGTGGGAGGCAGGATGCTGGACTACACAGATCTACGAAAGCTCTGGTCTGAATTCATGGGTTCATTATTCGGTTCCAGTAAGAGTTTGCCCTGTATTTTTGGCAAATTCTTTTGGCAAAAAGGCTGTAAGATGCACGTGCATCATTGCTGACCTGCACCACAGGGCAGGGCACCACAGGGCAGCCCCTTTCTGCTGAACAAGCACATCGGGCTTCAGCTCGGCGTGTCTGTGGGCACGTGGAGGGTCAGGCTGCGGAGCAGCGCCCTGTGGCTGGAGGGCAGCCCTCAGACATCCATGAAAAGTGCATGATCCAAAAAGCACGTGAGGAATCACAGAATCACAGAATCCTTAAGGTTGGAAGGCACCTCTAGGGATCATCCAGTCCAACCCCCTGCTCCAGCAGGGACACCCAGAGCACGGGGCACAGGGTGGCATCCAGGYGGGTTTGGAAGATCTCCAGAGAAGGAGAAGGAAGTTTGACACTACCCTGGAAGAGAAGTGTAGCTCAACCTTCTGAACAGTTATTCCAGAAGCAGTTTGGGATTAAGCCCTGCCAGATGTTTTATACGCTTTTATACACTGTATTCAACAGTGCTTAACTGGGTACTTGTAAAGAAAAACAAACTTGGGAGACATATGGGGAACATCTTTGTGCTGTTATCCTTCAAGAAAATGTSCCTCTCCTCACATATCACTGTTCAGGCCGTCATGTGTCTTCCAGTGTTTCAGTAGGCTATTTATTGACTTTCTCTTTGGGAATATTTTTCCCCATGGGAAGACAGACTGAAATTCTTGTTTTTTATTAAGCTCACTGATCCTTTTCCCTACATATTCTTTCTCAAAAGCAGTAAGGCAATAAATATACGCACATACACACATTAGTCTGCACCGGCAACTGTCTCACTGTTCATGTTGTCATTTCAGTGAGAAGAGCCAAGATAAGTATTTTAAATACT